GCAGTAAAATTAATAGAAATATTAATATAACAATGTTTGTTTCTAACTGATGTTTCTGCTGCAGTAATTTGGAATACTAATTTATTATTGAATATTGATTTATAATAAAGAACAATGCTTGAAACAAAGTTCACTTTGATTAAAATAAATGTAAAGATCTAAAGAAACTAAAATAGTTTGATCAACTTTACTGAAACCAAAGATCTTCAGGAAGTTGTGATGCGTCACACTGTGTTGTTTTTCTGACATCTTTTGCTTTTTGTTTTTATTTTAATCACATTTATCATAAACATGTTTCATCTGTTTAGTTGTTTCACTTTAGGTTTTTCTCTGATTTCTTTCTGCTGTTTTTCCTCCATAGATTTTCTTTCCTCTTCATGTTTTTGCAGAAAAGCACAAAACTTTTTCTTGTATTTTTGTTTGAACTCATTAAATTCTTCTGCTTGTTTTCTGGCTTCCTCCTCAAACTTCCTCTTTACTTCCTCCAGTTGTTTCTGATATTTTCCCTCTAGTTCTTTCCTCTCCTTCTCCACTTCTCTCCTCCTCTCCTCATCTTCTCTTCTCTGGTTTTCATATTTCTCTCTCTCTTTCTCATATTTCTCGTGAAGTCTCTTCAGTTCTTCTCGTCTCTCTCCGTCTTCTTGGTGTCGTTTTTCCCACCACTCCTTTCTTTCCGTCTCCCAGGCGTCTCGTTTGTCCTCCATCTTTTTTCTCATCTCTTCCAGTTTTCTGTCGATTGTTTCCTTTTCTTCTGATTCCCGTTTGATCATTTTCTCTAAATCTTGTCGTGCTTCCTCCCACTGATGTTGTTGTCGTTCTTCCTCCTCTTTTCTTTTCTTCTCTTCCTTTTCTCTTTCTCTCTGTTCTCTCTCTTTCTGCTCTCGCTCCTTACTGTTGTTTTCTTCCATCTCTTTAAATTGTTGCTCTCTCTGTTTTCTCTCTTTTTCCATCTCTTCTCTCTGTTCTTCCATTTTTCTTCTCAGTGATTCTGTTTCTTCTTCGTGTTTCTTCTGTAGTTCCTCCCTCAGTCTCTTCATTTCTCCTTCTTTCTCCTCCAGGATCCTCCTCACCTCTCTCTGTATAGCAGCTTCTGCCTCCTGCAGCATCTCGCTGGTGAAACATTTTCCTTTGTTCTTCTCCACCATCTTGTTGATCTTCTGGATCAGTTCATTGGTTTGTGATCGGTTCTGTTTATCATAGTTATTAAAAACATGATATCCTCCTCCACAGTCGTTGATCACCTTCATAAAGGATTCATCACGTCCCTCACTAAGGTATTGTTCTATCGTTTTGTCCTCATACTTCAGTTTGTCTCCTCCAGTGAACAGGATGAGGGTAAAATCTTCAGAGTTTTTACCAAAAATGTTCTTCATTTTTTTTAAAGTTTGTTTCTCCTCCTCTGTGAATCTGCCGACCTGCATCACGAGCAGGAAGACGTGTGGCCCCGGGGCCAGCAGGCTCATGCACTTCAGCAGCTCCTCATCCACCTGGTCGGGGGTCAGCGTGTTGTCAAACAGACCAGGAGTGTCGACCACAACGACAGAACGACCTCCGATCTCAGTCTGAGCTTTCTGACAGTTTCTAGTGACCGACTGCTGAGACGCTTTAGCTTCAAACAGTTTCCTGCCCAGGATGGTGTTTCCTGATGAACTCTTCCCACCGCCGGTTTTCCCGATCAGAACGATCCGGAGACAATCGGATATCGGGATCTGCTCAGGATCTGGGTTAGAAAGAAAGATAATAGAAAATTACTAGACTTAATCCTCACAAGGAATGGATTGAAGAAACAAGTTATGATGAAAACTTCTGATTTGCTCAATCACTCCTGTTGTAGTGAAGATTTTATAGATAATTCTCCCAAACTTATTTAGAAAAGAGGAAATTATTTTTAACTGTCATAAAGCTGATGGTTTTACAGCTCAGTCGTATCCTGAGATCTGCAGTTTCCTGATGTCAGGTAGAGAAAAAATATTTTTTACTGCTTTAAACTTTCTGTCTGTCTCTCAGACAAGATAATGTAACAACGCATTTTAAAAAAAAAAAAAAAAAAACTAAAGTTGACAAATAAATTAAGACAAAATAATATTGGAAATAGGCTTTTTTATAGCAAAAATAATATTAAACGAGAAAAAAAGAAAAGCAGAATTCACTAAACTCATATTGGTAACTGGAATTTTTTTAAAATCCTAATTATGGTAAATGAACATAATATTTACCTGTAACTGGTGTCTTTGACTCAAACTGCTTCAGTTTATTCTGTAGCTGCAGTTTTTCCTCCATTTGGCCCCATAATAATGTTTTAGTTGTGTAACTGAACAGTTTCTCTCTGTTTCTCTCCACCGTCTCCATCAGTCCTCTGATCTGCCGCCTGTCTCTGATGTTCAGAACTAAATATCTTCCTCCACAGATCTGGAGGAGATCCTGGATGTCCTTGTTCTCTATAAAGTTACCAACATCAGGATGTTCAGGATCTGTGGTGAAGAGGATGATGGTGAAGTCATTGACTCTGGAGCTGAATGTGTCCTGGATGGTGTGTAACTCTCCCTTGTCTTCATCAGTGAGGGGACCCACAGGTAGGACCAGGATGAAGGCGTGGACACCCTCAGGGTCACAGAGGGAGACACACCTGAAGGATTCCTCCATCACTTCCTGCTGAGCTTTTCCACCCAAGGCAGGCAGCTCCACCAGAGAAACCTGACGTCCAAACGCCTCTCCCTGCTTTCTGACACGCTGTGAAGGAAGATCCTCATGACCTAGAATGGCTCTGGCTGCTGACGCCTTCAGTGGGTCACTGGGACCAAACAGAACCAGGTTCAGAGCAGCAGGTCTCCGTTCTCCTTTGGGTTTAACTGCAACAAAACAGATACAAATTATTATAAATTAATAAAATCATTATTGAAACAGGAACAGCCTGATGTAGATATTATGAGCATATAACTTTAAATAAATTTGTCTGAACCCTTTTAGACTAAAAACTAAGGAAGTTTAAGCTGAAGACTCTTAGATGAAAATGTTTTTATTGATCATTTGGATGGTTTTTAATGTCATGTTTCCGGTTTTAATCTGGTGAATTTAATAACTAGATCTGAGTCTCCAGGCTCAGATTAGAGCCGACTCTTTTTACAACTGAATTTTTAAGTTTAGGACAGAAAATGGACAAAATGTTTCTTCATCTTTAAGACCAATTATTTCAACTACATTTCAACATATAAAAATTAATTCCTGGAATTAAATAATTTAGATTTAGAAAAGAAATATTTCTAGTCCAGTAGTGATAAATGTATTTTAATTTCTCTAAAAGCGATGAACGTAGAGCTATAGAATCAGATTGAATCCTGTTCTTACCAGCAGGTCTGGATCCTGGTCGTTTCTGAGCCTGATCATCTGACGGTAACTCTTCATGTCTCACATGGTTTTCATTGTTTTCTTTCATAATTTGTCCAAAGCGAATCAGCAGCTGCTCACGTTCAGTTTCCTCCATCTTTAAATATCTGTTTCTACATTTCCTGATCAGATTCTTCAGAGGAGAACCGATCACAGAACCTCTCTGTCTCTGCTTCAGGATCAATACCAATGAATGATCAAATGATCGATCACTGAAGGCTTGAAGGATTCTGTAGATCTTATTTTTCTCTCCTTCAGTGAAACTTTCAGGCTGAATAACCAGCAGGAAGACATGAGGACCAGGATCAGAGAGATCAGAACATTTTCTGATGAAAGCTGTCAGTTCTTTTGCTGTGTGGAACGAAACATCTGGAGTGTTGATCACAGATATTTGTTTCTCTTCCAGTTCAGCAGAAATCTTCTTAAAGGTGTTTGATGATCTGGTGAAACCATCACCTCCCAGTATGAAGTTCCCCACTGAGTTCCTCTCAGACCAGTTTCCTCCCAGTAGAACCAGTCTGAGCTCAGACACTGGAGATGAAATGAAAACAATTAAAATAGTTAAAGACATTTAGATCACAGAGAAAGAAAACTTTCAATTTATTGATCCAATAATAATTTATTACAGTTTCTATAAATTTAAACTTCAGACTTTTAGAAAAAAGATTAAGAGAATTTGATCCAAACTATAATGTTTAAAATACTGGATGTTTTATAAGAATATTATGAAATAAACATAACTGGATCATCTCAACAAAGAGTCTCAGTTATTTTTTTGTGTGATTTCTGTATTTTAATCTTAATAACTTGGATCTTTATTTCCAGTGGTGGGAAGTAGTACTTCGTTACTGTACTTAAGTA